GCACCCACGTGTCCACATTTGGGTGGCCATCCGCGTGCATACTTTTGGGTTGCCACCCATGTGTCCACATTCGGGGTGCCACCCACGTGCGAACATTCCCCGCCCCCCTTGCACACACCTTGTACACGCCCGCGCACACACGTGCACACACGCACACAGCCGCACACACAGGCACACACACACGCACAAACATGCACATGCACATGCACATACACAAATCATAGGTCACGCGCAACACCTGACAGAAACAACCGCAGACAACCACTAAACACGAGCTACCAACCGTGACCATCTGGGCATGGGCATTTACGGGAGCCCAGCGACTGCACCACTGTGCACGCATGCGCGTCGGTTGCAAATCCATGCGCGCGCACACGCAAGCTCAGAGAAGCGGCGCTTCCCGCTCTTGTCCGGGAAGGTGTCAAAACGAGCCGCCCCTGTGGGTACTCTACGGCGGGCCATGGGTTTCGTCGTAGACAAGATCCGGAAGGAGCTGTTCGAGAAGGAGATGGGGTGGACGCACGACATATACTGTCAGGTGTCAGCGTTGTATGCAACAAACGCGCCAGCCTTCGACGAGAACAAGATCCACAGTGCATTCGGCATGGGCGCGAGCCAGACGAAGGAGACGAGCGTGGGAGGCGAGGGAAGCGCCGAGGCAATGAAGAACACACATAGGAGGTGGCCGCGCAACGGATGTCGCAGTGGAGGTGACTCATCGTTGACGAGGTGGGCATGGTGAGCGCGAGTTGCATTGCAGAGTTCGATTCGCACCTGCGGTCGTGCATGTCAGCAGCAAGTGTCACGAAGTTAGGAGCAGACGGCGTGGGCAGGTCGCTCGGGGGCGTGAACGTGCTGTTCTGCGTAGATTTATATTAACTGGAACCGCCTTCGGGAACGGCAATCAAGGCGCTGCCCACGTCTTATCTGGAGCGCGCGAGGAAGTACGCCCCGAGGGCCACGGAGAACCACGGCCAGCACATCTTCCGGGGAGCAAAGGGCGAAGGGGCAGTGCAGGACATGACGGGGTTGGCCGAACGCACGCGCGCGGAGGAGCAGGACGGTTGGTTCCTTGGGGGGGGAAGACGAGTTTCGTCGCGGAGAGCTGACGGAACGGACGCGCAAGTTCTGTCGTGGCAGGCCGACGGACGCGCCGGGGTCGCGGGTGAACGGCGCAGCGCAGTGCGGCAACATTCGTTGTCGAGAGAACGCTGAGACCAGTGCCAGGAACAATGGGGCGGAGTGCGAGGCTTGCGCGGCGAAGCGAGAGAAGAGGGAACTCATCGCGACGTCGCCAGAGGACGCGCGTTTCCGCGAGGACAGATTCGTCGAGGCCGTCGCAATGTGTGCCAATCAAGATATCAATCACCACGTCGGCAAGCAGGGGGCCGCGCAGTGGGCGCAGGAGCGAGGAGAGCAGCAGGTGCTCTGGGTCGCAGCCAGAGACCGCCGTTGTCACGGAGGGGAACAGAGGCGGCCGTACACAGTGGAGGACAAAATGCGGCGGTTGGGGTACTACGGCAAGGATCGCGCGAGCTTGCCAGGCCGGCTGCCGCTGGCAAAGGACATGCCTGTGACCTTAGGGGATCATTTAGATCGGTCGAAAAAACATCCTGCGGGGGCGCACAGCGACGATTCGCGGGTGGGCGCTGCGCGAGGACGAGGTTGTGGGAGACGAAGACGAGGAAGTGTTGTCGCATTTGCCGCGAGCTATCGCGCTGGACTCTCACGCGAAGGACTGGCACCTGCCAGTGCGGGACCCGGGATTGCATCCAATTTTCTCATCGAAAGGGCACCAGTGGTTCTCGGACGAGTATCGGAAGCATCCAGCGTCGGGTGCACTGCGCGCCCAGTGCATGATCACGTCGTCTTTGGCAGCTACAGCGCGCGCCGCGCAGGGGCGAACGACGGCCGCAGTCATAGCGGATCTTGAGAGAGGGCGCGGCGCCAGTTCGATGTGCAGCGACGAGGCCATCGCGCGCGCGAAGGCGGGAGACCTCGTTGGCTTTCCGGCCTTTCGACAGAAAGCCATGCAACGCGGGCGAATTGGCGGAAACTGTCGCAGGTTCTCCGAGGGGGGCACGTGGACTGGGAAGAGTGGGATGCGGAACAAATGCCGCGGGATCAGCGCGAGCGGCGCCGGCGGAGGCTGCTAGTGGAAGTCTTCGCAAAGTATGAGTTCCAGAGGAGGACAAGCCGGCGTTCTGTCAGGAACACGCAGAGGCAATGAAGAGCGCCGGGGGGAAATGGCGCAAAGCATGCAAAGCAGTTGCAGCAGAGTGGGAGGGCCAAGGACGGACGCGCAAGGGGGCCGGCGAGGGAGACGCGGAAGTTGCCGTCGGGGAGGGGCCGAAGCAGACTCGGACCATGTACTGCGCGAAATTCAGCCATGTGAAAGCGAGGCAGAAGTCGCGGCGCGGTGGCGCGAAGTGGAAGGAGAGCGCAGGCACGACGCGGTGCTCGAACGGCAAATGCCCGGCGCTGTTCGAAGAGCGGGCGCCGCTGTCGGGAACGCAGGAGAAGCGCAATGCAGCGGGGGAGAGGTTGCGCGGGAAGTGCGAGGATGAGCGGCAGAAGACGACTCTCGAGGCAAACGACCGCAAACGGAAAGCGGAGGCGGAAGCGCAGCCGCTGACGCTTTGCACGCCAGGATGCCAGGTGACCGAAGCATCGCCGGGCGGCGATGGGACTCAGGGCGGCGCGCGGGGCATGTGAGAAGTTGGGTGTCACTGCGAAGGGAGTAGCTGATGCGGCGAAGCGGGCGAAGAGACAACTGATGCGTGCGGCGCGCCAGAAAGAGTTCCGAGGCAGGAACGCATCAGTGACAGGCAGGAACGCATCAGTGACAGACGGAAAAGCAAAGTTGCATGCGCATATTATTTTCGGGCTCGCGGCGCGGAGTTGGCAGGCGCACAAGCGCGTCGGCACCTGCAACAGGAAACTCCCGAAGTGCAACTGCGTCGTTGGACCGCATTTACGCGTTCCCACCAGAATTGCACCTTGAAGTGCAAGTCGTGCACCCGAGGCCAGCTGCAGCGTTCGTAGCAGGACGCGAAGGCTCGGAATCGACAGGGAGGGCGACGAGGAGGGGGACGTGGGGGGGGAGGAGGGGGAAGTAGGAGGAGGAGGAGGAGGAGGACTGGATCTGCAGACCTTGTCAGCTCCGGAGGCGTGACATCTGTCATGGCTGTCGGTTCGTCCCGACATGGTTGCGGGGCACAGTCTGCGGGGGGCTTTGTGGGGTGAGTCCGGCGGGACACTGTCGGAGTCAGGTGGGATGTGTATTGGGGTGATTGCAGAGTCTGTGGCTGACAGTTGCAGTGCTTCCCGCGCGCGCATGGGGAAACAGACGATATACAACGTTCAGAGACGGCGGACACATGTAGAAATACCAAAGGAAGGGTCCGCGCATAGCCTGCGGCCCATCCCGCCAGCATGCCCGGGTTGTGAGTGAGAGGCCTCTGGATTGTTCGTTGGGCTCTCGTGGTAGGTTTGTCAGGGGCCTGTTCAAAGCAGGTTAGGGGTCGTTTGGGTTCGTTTGGGGGTTTGCGTGGAGCGTATTGGAACCTTTTGACGCCTCCGGGGCGCGTGTTGCGGGCCTGTTTTAGGCTCGTCGGGGCCTCTTGGGGCCGCATCGGGCGTCTTGGGGGCGTCCCGGGGCCGAGGGCCCGAAATGTCCGTTCGGGTCTCCCGTCTTGGGCCCCTTGTTGGAGCTGTGTTTGGGGGCATCTCGGGCCGTCTTGGAAGCCTCTGGAGCTGTATTGGGGTCCTCCTGGGCCGTCTTGCGGGCCTTTTGGGTTGTGCTGGGGCGATCTTGGGCCCTTGTTGGGGCGCCTTGGAAAGTCGGGAAAACGAAAACGCGAGAGGCCAACAAACCTTGAAGAATCCATGGGAAAACTTAGATGTTTGCCTCGTGGTGCGCTCTTGGGCAGCTTCTTGGGCGCCTCTTGGGGCGTCTTGGCGGCCTCTTGGTTCCATTTGGAGCGTCTTGGAACGATCTTTGGGCGTCTGGGGGCGCTCGGGCGCCGTCTTGGGGGCCTCCTGGGAGGGCGGCTCGGAGCTGGACGGGGAATCTGGAAGGGCCAGGCTCCCCTTGGTGAGTGCGGGGGGCGGGTCGCGCGCGGCCATGGGAGAGGTCCAGTTCCCAGTGCGGGGTCCCTGGGTGGGGGGATCTTGGGGGGGGGGGGGGGGGACATTTTCACACGCCTAGAGAACCAACCACAGGGGATCGGCGGCCCCAGAGCTCCCGACCCGTTCCCATGGGGGTCATTTTGCGCCCCGATCTGCCTCTTTGATGCTCCCGGGGCCCGCTGGTGAGGCCGAAGTCAAAGAAAGCAGCGATGCGTTACAATGCTGGGACCGCGCAGCGCCACTACAGCCCCAGCGGGATGGAGATCGCCCGGGCTGAAACATCACATCATCGGAGATTTGGGTGTGCACGATCGCTGCTCCCGGCTTCCACCCCGCAAACGTGCGACGGTGCTTCAGCTCTAGTGGAGAGGCCGGGGCCCGCTCGCACCTGTCACGCGTGCGTGCTTTTGTTTTTCTTGCCGGGGCCTGTGCGTCGCCAGGACCTGGCTTTCTTCCTCACCGCGTGGGGTGCGCCCTCCCTGTTGCTCCTCCTCCTCCTCCTCCTCCTCCTCCGCCTCCTCCGCCTCCTCCTTCTCCTGTTCCTCCTGTTCCTCTTCCTCCTCCTCCTCCTCCTCCTCCTCCTCCTCCTCCTCCTCCTCCTCCTCCTCGTCCCAGGGGGCTAGTTGACGGCGGTCGGATCCCGCAGGAGAACATCATTCCTTCTCTCGTCGGGCTGGGCTGGGGCGAGGCGCATGAAATCCGCCCCGGGGCCTTCCAGAACGCTCCGAGAAGGCCGCGGCGCCCGAGACGCCCTCCGGAGATGCTCGATCGATCCTTGCCAGATGTTGTCCTCGTCCTGGCTTCGCCTTATCTCCCCCCTCCCCCTCCCCTCGCCCAACCCCCCTCCCCCCCGTCGCCCTCGCCCCCAGGTCGGGCGGCAGAGGCGGCGGCGACACGGGCGGCGGGCCTGCGAAGGGCGGCAGCGAGCAAGGCGCCCCCACCCCCCCCGTTTGTGGAGGTCGCCGTGGAGCACGGCCGCTCACGAACCAGGGCATCCCCCCCCCCTTACCATCCGCATCGCCGACGCCCCCCCCCCCCTCCCCCCCAGCCCCCGCCCCCCAAGCTCCCCCAACCCCCGCCCCTTCCGCATCGCCCCCCCCCCCTACTCCCCACGCGCCTTGGACCCCTCCCTCCGGTCTCCGCGCGCACGCACGCACGCACGCACGCACGCACGCACGCACGCACGCACGCACGCACGCACGCACGCACATACATACATACATACATACATACACACACACATACATACATACATACATACATACATGCATACATACAAACATACAAACATACAAACATACAAACATACAAACATACATATATACCTATACGACCACCCTTCGGGTGATAAGGAGGTTCGGGGGGGGGGAACCAACGTCTCACTCAATCGGTCTCACTATCGATCTCCGTATCGATCTCACTATCGGTCTCGCTCGATCGATCTCACTTGATCGATCTCACTCGATCTATCTCATTCGATCGATCTCACAATTGATCTCACAATCGATCTCACCATCGATCACACAATCGATCTCACATTCGGTCTCAATGTCGATCACACTATCGATATCACAATCGCTTTCACAATCAACGTCATCATCATCATCATCATCAACATCATCAACATCAACATCATCACCAACATCGTCATCATCATGAGGGCACAGTCATCATCATCATCATTAACATCATCATCAACGTCAGCACCATCATCGGGACAACATCATCATCACCATCACCATCATCATCTCATCATCAGCATCATCATCATCGGGGCACAGTCATCGTCATCATCATCAGCAGCATCATCAGAATCATCATCATAATCGGGACACCATCATGATCACCATCGTTCCCATCATCAACATTATCATCAACATCGTCATCATCCTCGGGACACCATCGTCATCATGATCATCGCATCATCATCAACAACATCATCATCATCATTGGGGCACCATCATCATCATCATGAGCAACATCATCATCAACATCGTCATTATCATTGTTATCATCATCGAGACACCATCAGCATCACCATCATCATCATCAGCACCGTCATCGGGACACCATAATCATCATCAGCATCATCATCATCAACATCATTATCGCCGGGACACCAGTTCCATCAACATCATCATCACCAACATCATCGGAATCATCATCATCATCATCATCATCATCATCATCATCATCATCATCATCATCATCATCATCATCGCGACACCATCATCGTTATCATCATCAACATAATCATCATGAGCATCATCATCCTCATCATCGGGACACTATCATCATCATCGACACCATCATCAACATCATCATCCTCATCGGGACACCATCATCATCATCATCAGCATCATCATCATCATCATCATCATCATCATCATCATCATCATCATCATCTCATCATCATCATCATTATCCTCGCGGGACACCGCGGGACACCGGCGGGACACCGCGGGACACTGCGGGACACCGCGGGACACCGCGGGACACCGCGGGACACCGGCGGACACCGCGGGGCCCCGGCCGCCCGGAAGGGAATCATTTGGTCCGGCCGCGCCTCAGCCACACGGGACACCAGCGGGACACCGGCGGGACATCGCGGGGCCCCGGCCGCCCGGAAGGGAATCATTGGGTCCGGCCGCGCCTCAGCCACAGGAGACTTTCTCTCGCCCGCCCACGCAGCTTCGCCTCGCCCGCACGGCACGCACGAACACGAAACCGAAATCGATTTCCCGGTAGGGGGGCTCTCCGTTCCACTTCGATCTCACCCCCCAACCTCCGACATACACACCTACGTACAAACATACACATATATACATATATATATATATACATACATACATACATACATACATACATACATACATACATACGTACGTACATACATACATACATACATACATACATGCATATATATATATGTGTACATAAATACATATTTAAATACATACAAACATACACACATACATACACATACGTGCATACACGCATGCATACATACCTATATATATGTATGTACACATATACATACATGCATGCAGGCATACATCAATGTATACATACATGCATACACATACCCATACGTACATACGTACATACGTACGTCCATCGATGCATGCATACATGCATGTATGTATGCATGCGTACATACATATATACAAACAACCAACCATAGGTCCATACATGCATGCATTCATACATACATGCACACATACATACATGCACACATCCATACATACATGCATACATGCATGCATGCACACATACATACATATACATATATATATATATATATATATATATGTATACATGCATACATACAAACATACATGCATGCATACATACATACACGCATACACACATTTACACACGCACGCACGCACGCAAGCACGCTTCTCGTCCCGCTCCCCATCTCCTCCCCCTCGCCTCCCACTTGTTCCGCGCCCCCCCTCCCAGCTCCACCTCCTCCGCGCCCGTGCCGCCTCGTCAGGCCCACCCCAGGGAACGGCGCCCCAACGGGGCGGGTGCCCCCCTTGGGGCCGTTCCCAGCAGCTGGAGCGCGACGACAGCTTCAGGCCAGTGGCTCCCACGTGTGGACGCGACGCGTCGAATTGTCCAGGATTGTCGAGCACCGATTCGCTGGTCGTGGAGGATGTCATCCGTTTGAAGTTGGGGGTCGAGAGTCACTCGCTCGGCGAGACTGTCAAATTGAAGCACGACGAGGTCCAGAAGCAGGTCGACCGCATCAATGGCAGGGTCAGGGTCAACGCCCAGGGCGCAGTCGGCTTCGTGACTGAAAGTGTGTGGGGGTGTGACGGTATCTTTCCGAGTGCAGACATTCACTAGTTTCGAATGTCGGCGCGCATGAGTATTGTAGGTCGACCCTTCAAGACAAGGGTGCACTGGCGTTATCCAAATAATTCTCCATGTCCTTTGAACTCTCTCTCTCTCTCTCTCTCTGTCTTTCGTGCGCACTGCCGCCCCTCGGAAGAGCCAGGCGTCCTCTCCAATGTCATCTCTTATGATCGCATGATTTTACGAGCCAGCAACATGTTTTTTAACATTCAAGTCACTGTAGCAAAAGTGCTGATCAACTGTAAGCCCAATGTGTGGATGCTATCCTTTACAGCGAAAGCTGTGAAGGGGTGCAGGCCTGACACCACCACCACTCCGCCTCTCATAGACAAACAACACGGAAAACGGCATCAACTGAATTTCGTCCGCGCGGATTTCTTGGGAACGGCGTTGGCACCCTCTGACAGCACCTCTGGCGCCGCCCCTGGCGCTCTCCAGTCGCCAGGGAGGGGGATCCAACGCAGATCCAAGAAACCCGTGCGGACATCGGAGAAATTGTGTTTGTGCAGTGCTTTGTTCCTCTAGCTTCTGTCCTCGTCCGCTGAGCAATCAGCGAGCCAGCCCTCGTCACGCCCCGTTGCGCCTCCCGCCCCGTCGCCGCTCTCCGTCCTCGTTTTGACGCCACGCTCCCCAGACATGCGACGTCCTCCTTTCTTCAGCACGGAGCTTTTGAGAGTCCCGGCCCTTTCCCTGGTCTCCTCCTCCTGCTCTCCCTCCTCCTCCTCGTACTGCTCCTCCTCCTCTTTCTCTTTCTCCTCCTCCTCCTCCTCCTCCTCCTGCTCCTCTACCTCCTCCTCCTCCTCCTCCTCCTCCGCCTCCTCCTCCTCCTCCTCCTCCTCCTCCTCCTCTTCCTCCCACCAGTGTTTCGTCCTGAGTCGTTTCTGATGTTCCCCAGGCCTGGCGAGGGCTCCCAGGGGACGCCGCTGTGACCTGCCCACAGCACCACACCAGAGGATACATCAACCTGGCATGGCCGCGAGGATTACTTGAGTGAGAGTGAAGAACAAAAAATGCGAGGGCTCCCAGGGGCCGAGAGCAGCCCAAAACCTGCCGTCCTGATGTTTCTGCGGCGCGATCGCGCCTGGGTCGCCCCCCCTCCTCAGGCAGGCTGTACCTGGGGCGCCTGGCGTTCGAGGCCGACGAGGAGGACCTCCGGCAGAAGTTCCAGCGCTTCGGTGCCGAGCAGCCGCGCGCGTTTTCGGAAGCTGGAACATATACCTTACCAGCGGCGTGCTGTTTCTTAATCCCAGGACTCTTTGAGGGTCAGGGACGACGTCGGGGTGGTGTGGTGTATAGTTGTTTCCCCGTTGTTCTAGGGACATGACGAAAAATGTGTACACCAGCACCCCGTATACACCAGGATTCGCTTTCATGTGCGAGTTTCAGTGCAGGGCCGGAAATAGCGTCGGTGTATAGAGTTCGGTTCCTTGTGTTTCTCACTGCCCCCCCCCCCTCGCTCCGACTGCATCGCGCTGCTGCCTCGGGTGCGACGGAGGTGCAGCTGTCAGGAAGACAATTCTCGGGTTGGGAGGATGGGGGTGTGGGAGACATGAGGATATCCTCACCCGTATAGGCGACCGGAGCTATCGTTCATGGCATCCGGATGCTGTTGCTCATTCTCTTCATCCTCCCACCCCCCTCCTCCCAACACGATGGTTGTTCTCCTCAAGCGGGCCTGGTCCACGTCGGGCCCACGGCTTCTAGCATTCCTCTGCAATGGCGCTTCCTATGCTATTGCTCATACCCTACATCCTCCCGATCCTCTACCTCCCAACACGATAGTTACTTGCTCTCCTGCAGCGGGCCTGGTCCACTTTCGGACCACGGCTCCTAGCATTGCTCTGCAGTCGCGCTCCCTTTGCAGGCGTTTCTGACGAACAGCGTAAGGAGGCTCCCAAAAGGAGTATTTTGCCGTGTCGAGGCGCCCCGAGGCGCAGGGCAAGCACCCTCAGCTTGCAGGTTCGCGCTTGACTGTCTGCACTGGTCGGTGAGATACAGTCGGGCTGCTGAAGAAGGAACCCTTTTCGTTGGGGAGGGGCTGAGTGTGCCTCCATGGCTTTACAGCTTGTCTCGGGTGTTGCTTACGTTTTCTCCGTGGGAAGTCTCTGTGGGAAATCGAAGTTTCGCTGGAAACGCCCATCTCTAATGCGTGTTGAAGCGGACCCAACCCCCGGCCCCGATCTCAAAGCTCGGGACGGTCGGCGCGGGGGAGTGCGAGCCGTCTCGACTAGAAAAACAGCGCCCACGTGTGCAAACCGCGGCCTGCCCCCTTTGGATGAGCATTGCAATTTGGGGGGAGGGGGGGGACGCGGGGGGGGGCTCTTGCGCCATCTTCCTCCTCCTCCTCCTCCTCCTTCTCCTCCTCCTCCTCTTCTTCCTCCTCCTCCTCCTCTTCCTTCTCCCCCTCCTCGACCTCCCCTCCTCGGGTCGCCTACGGCCCCGGGGGGCGCGGGGGGGCGCTCTTGCGCCATCTTCTCGTCGAGGCACCTGGGCCCTCCTTCCGAAAACGCCGGTACCTCGGGCGTCTTCTGACAGCGTGGCGGAGGCAGAGGAGGAGGAGGAGGAGGAGGAGGAGGAGGCGGAGGAGGAGGAGAAGGCGTAGGAGGAGGAGGAGGAGGAGGAGGAGGAGGAGGAGGAGGAGGAGGAGGAGGAGGAGGCGGAGGAGGAGGAGGAGGAGGCGGAGGCGGAGGCGGAGGAGGAGGAGGAGGAGAAGGAGGAGGAGGAGGCGGAGGAGGAGGAGGAGGAGAAAGAGGAGGAGGAGGAGGAGAGAGGCGGAGCGCTGCGATACTGCAGCGACACGCCGAGGCCACCCTCCGTGCTCTGCCCTCGCCTCCGCTCCCCGCGCCGCTGCCCACGGCGAGGTGAGATCGCCAAGGCCCAGGTCGTTAAGGACCGCTCCCACCTCGCACACCTGCCGGAGGTTTCTCCGAGGGGCTCTTGCGACCCGTCCGTCCTCCTCCTCCTCCTCCTGGACTCCTCCTCCTCCTTGCTCTCCTCCTCCTTCTCCTCCCTCCTCTCCTCCTCTCTCTCCTCCTCCTCCTCCTCTCCTCCTCCTCCTCCTCCTCCTCCTCCTCCTCCCATTCCTCCTGGACTCCTCCTCCTTCTCCTCCTCTTCCTCCTTCTCCTCCTCCTCCTCCTCTTCTTCCTCCTCCTCCTCCTTCTCCCCCTCCTCGACCTCCCCTCCTCGGGTCGCCTGCGGCCCCGGGGGAAACCGTCCAACACCTGCACGACACTCGTTGGTCAGCGGCAACTTGAGCCTAAAAAGCAGCAGAGACAGCTCAGAGGTGCATCTGAGCCGACTTGGGCATAGTGGGAGGAAGGAGGGTAGGCACGGGGGGGGGGCGGGCGAGTAAGAACCACCCGTTGATGCGGTGCCGCGCGCACCCGTGGAGTGCCCCAGCAGCTTTCGCCAAAGGGCGCTTGGGTCCTGTCAACTCTCGAGAACAAAATCCACGCAAACATCATCGCTCTGACGTCTGCCCTGATATCTTGGATCGGCGCCAGACCTTCCATCCTGGCGCGCGGAGCGCGCCGAGTGCGGCACCAGAGACGCCGCCAGGGGGGTCCAGCGCCGATTTTAACAAATCCACGCGGAGCTCCGAACGCTTATGTTTTTCCGCGCCTTGTTCCTCAATGGACGCCCTCCGTCATCGGTCCGACCGTCGTGAGCGTTTGTTTCCGCTCACTCGAGATCGGTTCCCGGTGGACCCTCCTGGGCGTCGAAGGCGGGCCTCCATCGACAGACAGGAAGAAGCTCTGCAGCAGGGTCGAGAGCGTCGGTGACACCGACGCTCTCGACCCTGCTCCTTCGCGCATCTTTGCGCAATTAAGCGAGTTTGGTTGTGTTTTGAGCGGCCTTGTGCTGTCTCAGCGGCGGTTTGGTTGCCCCCCCCCGCTTCCGCCATCCCCAAGTGGAGCTGCATGAGGTGTTCGAGCACACCTCGAGCCTCAGAAAGCCAATCGGGATGACACTGGTGCCACCCAAGAGTTCCCGGTGAGGGCGCAGTTGGCCTGCGGGGAAGCGGGGCCTGTCCTCGGCCAAGCTGAGCTCGGGACAGCACCTGGGGCGGCTCCCCGTGCCCTGGCGGCGAAGCAGTCAAACAAAAAGCCTGGGGACGATGTTTGGTGCATCGTTTTATTTGTTATTTGATTGTTGTATTGTTTGCTGATTGTTATTTGCAATGTGTTATTTGTTGTTGTGTTGCTTGTATGATTTTATGTGTTATTTTTTTCTTACGTATTAACTAATTATGTTTTGTTGTATTTTTCTGTTATCTACTCACTAATTCTGTTTTGTTGTATGTTCCTTTCTTTTTCGCCCCGTATCCGCCTGTAGGGGGACGTGCCCGACCTAAGCATAGGGCGACAGGACTGACACACGTCCACCGCCCCAGGCCCGGCCCGGGCCCCAGGACCGGTGTACGCGCCTCCCTGGCCCAGCCAGGAGGGCGTACACGCCGCTCCCCGGCCCGGGATGGGCCAGGCCCGGGGCAGCGGGCGTGTGCAGATTTACGTCGGGCCTGTCCCTCTACAGGGGGGGAGTCCAAAAACAGTAAGGAGACAGAGGCTGGGCACGATCGCTTGAGTGCTCGAGGCATTCTGGGTGTATTTTTTTTTTTTTTTTAATATTCTCGGTCAACAAACGGAGAAGAAAACAAAACAAACGAAAAACGTCCACAGTCGGCCTGTAGCGGGACAGGCCCGACCTAGGTACAGATCTCGTCGCCCTGGCGCAGACAGGCAGGCAGGCTTGGTACGCGGCCGGCCGCAAGGACGAGACGGATAAGTCCAAGACCCATGGCTACGTGACGTTCGCCAACCCCGACCACGCCCAGAAGGCCCTCAGGCCTGCGGTGGGGCCGGGCCGCGGCTGCGGTGGCGAATTGACCGACCGAGAACCCAGGTGCAGCCCCGAGCCTGGATTGAAATCGGGCCTGTCCCTCTACAGGAGGAAAATTTGAAAATAGTTTTTTTTTTAAAGTGTTGTCTGGGGATTTTTTGGGAATCGATGAGCATGTTTTGGACATTTTTAAAATATTTTTTATTGTTCGTCCAAATCCCCCCGTAGGACGACAGGCCCGACTTAAGCCTGGATCGCCCTGTTCTGTCGATTCAGGCCCGGTCGATCGACCGATGGATCAATCGATAAAGGCCCGATGGATCGATCGACGGTCATCAATCGATCCATCTTCTTGGCATCGCTCGGACGTGTGCATTTTTCCTTCGGCGAGGAACATCGAGGAGCATCCGTGATCATTTGGCGAAAAAACCACACACGAAACCAACAAAAAACACAGGGAATGGACGTCCGAGCGGTGGCCAGTCGTTGATCTCGATCCCGAGCCGACCGAGTTTGTGGATCGCTGATCCCCAGGCCCCCGACGTCGTGATTTCTTCGCAACGTCGACACCTCGAGGTCTGGGCTCCTTCCCCAGGACCGGTCTTTCCTCCTCCCTCCACCTCCATCTTCCGTACCTTCCGACCTCTGCGGAAGGCGCGGAAGGTGATGCATTGAAGTTATTAAAAGCCCCAGGAAACGCAAGAAAAGTCAGCGTTTCACGAAGCGCAAGAGTGTGGAAGGTCAGCACGGAAGGTCTGGAAGAATGAGGGCGAGGGCTGAGCCGTTTTTTTTGACGGCCCCGAGGCCCGGTAGGGGCCCCCAGAGGCCGAAAAGAGCGAAAGACCTCTCCCGCCGCGAGTCTTGTTCACGAGGAGGAGGAAGAGGAGGAGGAGGAGGAGGAGGAGGAGGAGGAGGAGGAGGAGGGGTCCGGGTCCGTCGTCCGAGCGCTCGGGGTCCATGCGGTCGACCGGGCCTGCGGATGAGCAGGGCGAGCGCGCTTCGGGGCGGCCGGGCCGGGCCGACGTCCGACGTATCGGCGCCGTGCCGGCGCAGCCCGATCTGACGCGAGTGGGGTGCTGCGCAACGGGGGGGGGCGATGTCGGGTATGGCCAGGACCCCAGGTAAGGGGACCTGGTTAGTGGTAGAGCCTTTGAATTTTAGCCAGAGTCACTAAACCAGGTTTGCCACAGCTGGTGTTTTTTTCGGGTGACGGCAGTTCCGGTGAGTGGAAATGGGACGGGGGGGTGCCCCCGGTGCAGATCACTAAACCAGGTTCCACTAAACCCAGTTCTGCCAACGCCCGAAAATGGGGGCTAGCCCCAGACATCTGGCGTCTCGGAAAGATCGAGACGGAGGTTTTTCATAGTTGTCGGCCTCTCGGGGCCATCACCCGGCCTCGCGACCGTCGAAAAAGCGCCTCAGGATTGACAGCCCGTCCTGGGGAAGCGGTCGAGAGGTCGGGGACCCGTGAAATAATCGAGACGCCGAATGTCTGAGAAGAAGGGTGCACTTTTCGCATGCTTTAGGCCCGTAACGGGGCCCTCTGGGCCTGGCGCCACGCGTGGCGGAGCGACACGATGTCCACTCGCAAGGCATGGCGTGTCGCCAGGGCCGCCGTCGTAACACGCTGGGTAGTCGAAGGCCAGACTGTCAGACTGGATTGGGCCCCAAGGGCCAATCTGGCCTGGCCATATTGGAGGATTTGGGTTATTCGCCAGACTGGATTCGCGTTGGCTCCCTCGCCAGATTGCCCCCGTTTGCCAGATTGGGCCTGCCAGATTGGTGCCAGATTGGCTTCGACTACCCAGACACGCTATCCAGAAGTTCCTGAACGTAAGGCAGTGCTGGAAGCGTGGAATCCCAAGCACGCCCCCGAGGCCTCTGAAAATGCAACGCGACGACCTCCGAGAGCGTGTGCGATCGACCAGACGTTGGAGCCCAGGCTCATTCAATACGATTTGCACTGCCCACCGCGGTGAACTCGAAACGACCCGTGGACACTCCATTCCGTGCCTGGCGGCACGGTGACAGGCTTTGGCCTCCAGTTGGGCTTCCAGGGAGCGCAGGCCCGGTCGCGTCGGGGACTGGCGGGGTCCCTTTGTGTCGTGGTAAGTTTCCCCGACCCCCGACGTCATGATATATATATATATATATATATATATATATATATAATTTCGGCCTCGAGAGGTCTCGACCTATCCCCCTGGACCCTTTTATCATCATGAGTCGATGTTTGACGCTCCCGAGCCCCGCTGGGGGCCCCTGGGGCCGAACATCGCGAAAAGCCTCCCGCCATGACTTGTTCATTACCCGATCGGGGTCTGGGCTTGCTGCCGCCCCAGGTCCTGACCCACAGGCGACCCCCCCGGAGGCCCCCGAAGGCCAACAGTGGGAAACCGACCCCAGCCCCCACAACAACGGATTTCACATGTCAATGTTTCACAAGTATGGCGAATGTGCGTGATCAGGTGTAGGCGCCTTGTGAGGGAAGCGATTGCCAGCTGCTGCAGGGGGGGCCCCGCGCGCGCGGTCTGGTTGCTCTAAAGTTCCTCATGTGGGGGGCGGGGGGCGGTTTTCGTGCGTTCAAGTCTGGAGGCTCCTGGAGGCCTGGAGAGGGCCAGAGACGTCCGAAGGCCTCCCCCCTCCGACCTGGGAGGGTCGGGGGCAGAACTTGGCTCTTTCTCCCTTACAGAAAAAGGCTCCAGGGAGGCACACACAAAGAGACACACATTCCATGACTCCAGACCCCCTCGCCTGTGGAAAAAACACGACGGGAATGTGTTCGGCTTCTGGGGGCGCTCACCGGGCCTCGAGAACGTCATGAAACGACTCGGGATGAAAAGCCGGTCCCAGGAAAGGGGTCCAGACATCTTGGGGGTCGACGTTGTGAAAAAACACGACGTCAGGGGTTTGGGACTCGTATATTTTATGTTTTTTGTGTATTTTCGTTTTCCCCTCCGCTTCCACAATTCCCCATCTGTTCCTGTGAATCGACGTGTATGTGCTCGGCTTCGACTCTACCGTTCGGCGTCCGCTCCGATACACTGTCTCACGTTGTAGCGCAGCTTCGCTGTCGTGTATCTCAGAGAAGAGGTAGAGGTGAGCGATTGTCTTGCGGTGGAAAAACTTATTCCTGCGAATCGACGTGTATGTGTGTTTGTGACGCTTTTCCCCTGCTGAATAACTACAGTCAAGACGCTGAAGTAAGTACGACGACCTCTGGCTCAGGAGGCGCTCTGCTCTGCTTCCTGGGCGTTCCTTCTCCTTCTCGAAGCCGAGGCTCGCCGTGTCCAGCAAAGCCCTTCCGGCCCTGCTTCGGCGTTCTCTCTGTGCCAGCACGATGGCTCTACGGTCAGGAACTGTGGCCCAGCGTGTCGCGCCGCCGGTTCTGGCCCACCACGCGTCGGCGCGACACTCTGGGGCGCTTCCCCACGAGCACCACCGGCCCGAGCTCCCCCCAGCCTCCCGGCCCGCGGGGCGAAGAGGCACGCGATCCGCTCGCTGGCAGGCGGCCGCTCGCAGGGGGGGGGGGCAGGGGGAGGGGGGAAGGCTTCTTAGAAGTACCCCTGCTTCTTGGAAGAGGCGGGCCCTGTCCGTGGACGTAAGACCGGCGCCCGCAAAGGAGCGGCCTCCTCCTAAGAAGCCTTTCCCCTCTCCCCCGTTGCCCCCCTGCTGCGCGCCGCCAACCCAGGCCCACGGCGACGTGGTTTTTTCACAACGTCGACCCCCAGAGGTCTGGACCCCTTCCCCGAGACCGGTTTTTCATCCCGAGTCGTTTCTTGACGGTCCCAAGGTCCGGTAAGGGCCCCCGGAGGCCGAAAAGAGCGAAAGACCTCCCGTCGTGATGTTTGTCACAGCGCGAGGGGGTCTGGGACGGGAAGTGGCACGACGACTGTCTCGCGCCCCCCACCCCCGGCCAGGGAAATGGACGGCTGCGAGATCCGAGGCCGCGCGGTTGCCATCGAGCTCGCGGGCGCCGTCGGCGGCACAGGCCATTGCGCCTGGCTGCTTCTCCACGTCGGGCCCCTCTGGCCTTTTTTCCAGGAAGGGGACTGGTGGGGGGAGAAGAGGATCGAGGAGCAGGACAAGGGAAGAAGGAACTTACGTAATTAGGTCAGAGGAGAACACGGGAAGGAACGGAGGAGGAGGAGGAGGAGGAGGAGGAGAAGGAGGAATAGGAGGAGAAGGAGGAGGAGGATCAGGAGGAGGAATAGGAGGAGGAACAGGAGGAGGAGGAGGGAGGAGGAGGAGGAGGAGGAGGAGGAGGGGGAGGAGGAGGGAGGAGGAGGAGGGGGAGGGGGAGGAGGGAGAGGAGGGAGGAGGACGACGAGGACGAGGAGGAGGAGGAGGAGAAGGAGGAGGAGGGGGAGGGGAGGAGGAGGACGAGGAGGAGAAGGAGGATGACCAGTGTAAACCCAAGAGTCATCAACGATGTTGGAATAAACCCTCCCTCCAAGCTCCCTCTTCATAGGCCCATACAACGGTTCAGTTTCATTGAAGCAACTGCCTCTTTGGAAGACAACCGTTTGAAAACCCTGAAGCATGCCAAAACATTGCTCTCGGCATTCCAATGCCACGGATCAACCTGACTCTTGCGTCTTGACCATCCAGGATCGTGCCAGAGTGCCGTTCGTGGGACTTCAGCACAGCGAACCAACATACTTGTTGCACCCGATCCTTACAAAACACCATTTCTGGCGCGTTGATGATGGGAATCCGTGGAAGTCTTGCAAATTCTGAAAACGAATGTGCGCCGCGCGAAGGCGAGAGCCACAGTTTGAAAACGACACGCCCTCAATCCGAAAAGTTCTTGCAATTTTTTACAACGAATGTGCGCCGCACTGAAACGAGAGCCACAGTTTGAAAACCACCCGCCCTCCATCTACGAAGCTCTTGCACATGTTTAAACCAATGTGCGCCGAGCTAAGGCGAGAGCCAAATGTTGAATACGACCCGCCCTCAATCCGTGAAACCTTTTTGCGAGTTTTTTGAACGAATGTGCACAGCTCTAAGGCGAGAACCACATTTTGAAAACGACCCGCCATCAACCAGTGAAACTGTTGCACATGTGTAAAATAAATGTGCGTCGCGCTAAGGCAATTTCCACATTTTGACAACGACCCGCCCTCAATCCGTGAAGCTCTTGTAAGTGTGACAAAGAACTGTGCACAACTCTAAGGCGCGAGCCACATGTTGAAAACGACCCGCCCTCCATTTGTGAGACTGTTGCCAACGTTTTAGCTTCAGAGTGATGAATACTAAGGAAGTCTCAGGCGAAACGCCCGGACCGCCCTAAAAACGAGCCTCGAGGTGTGACAGGGAGAAGTTATCAAGAAGGAGAACGAATGGAGGAGGAGGAGAAGGAGGAGGGGGAGGAGGAGGAGGAGGAACAGGGGGAGGAGGAGAAGGAGGAGGAGGGAACAGGGGGAGGAGGAACAGGGGGAGGAGGAACAGGGGGAGAAGGAGGAGGAGGAACAGGAACAGAGTCATCAACAATGTTAAAGTGAACCCTTCTTCCAAGCTCCCTCTTCATAGACCCCTACCAGGGTTCATTTTACTGAGGGAACTGCCTCGTTGGAAAGCAACCGTTTGAAGACCCTGACGCATGCCAAAACACCAACGCCACGGATCAATCTGACTGTTGCGTCTTGACGAGCCTGAATCGTGAGAGAACGCCATTCCTGGGACTTCAACACTGCGAGCCAACGTAACTGTTGCACCCTCATAATCATGAATCCTTTCAACGCACCTTTCTCGATACGCTGATCATGGGAATCCGTGGAACTCTTGCATCTTTTAGCAACAAGGAAACACATAACAACGTAGGTGTGCGTCGCTAAAGCGAGAGCCACATTTTGGAAAGGGCGGAGCGACACGCTCTTTCTCTATATAAGAAAAGACCGGCGGAGCGACACGCCTTCCAAAAGTTCTCGACCGCGGCGCCCCATCCAGGGTGGATGTTTCAGATGGCGGTTCGCCGTAATTCTGCTTCGCCGAGTTCCCTCATCCGATCGAACGGGGGAGAAGCAGTAGACAACTGGCAACCAAAAGGCGCCCTGGGCCTCACATGCCAGGACCAGGGAAGACGAAGCTCTCGCCAAAGGCTGCCCTTAGGAGAGGGGCGGAGGGAGTATGAAGAGAACGAAGAAGAGAAGGAGCAGGAAGAGGACAAGGACGAGGTAAGTCGGTGCCCCACCCCGGCTCCCCAGCAGTCCAGGACTGGCTTACAAAGCTGGCGCCCCACGCAGGAGGCAAGATATGACGCCCCTTTCTTTCAAAGCAGTTTTGAGAGCCATCTTGGGCCGTCCTGTCTGGGAGAGATCGTCCGAAGCCGCCTTGAGACCGTCCTAAGATTGTCGACGGCCATCCTGAGGCAGCATTGGAGCCGTCGGGACATGCAGAGACCTGTATACTTCTCGAGGCTGTGCAGGGATCACGTTTGGTCCCAAGAGCAGCACGACGTAACCATGCGAACGCAATTTGATATTCGATACACCTCCTGCGTAAATCATGCACGTTCGCGAAGCTCCTGGTCGATGTTACGTCCCGCAGGCGCACCAGACATTATGCTGCCTCGTTTGCCTTGCGTCAAATCCGCGGCGTCGACCCGCGGTGCGCTTTCTTCGCACGTTCATCAATATCTTTTATACACATATATATTTATATAATATATAGGTACAAACTATTTCGGCACAGTGCGTTCTTGCTCGCCCACGGCGGCTTCAGGACTTCCCTACCGGATCCTTCGCACTCGAGGGCTTGGCATTCTCTGAGGCCGCCGCCTTGAATGTTCCTCATCCCCTGTGCTCCCAACTTCAGCGAGGGGGAGGAGGAACAGGAGGAGGAGGAGGAGGGGGATGAGGAGGAGGAGGAGGCGGAGGAGGAGGAGGAGGAGGAGGAGGAGGGGGAGGAGGATGAGGAGGAGGGGCAGGAGGAGGGGGAGGAGGAGGAGGAGGAGGAGGAGTTCGGAGGAGGAGGAGGAGGAGAAGGACAAGTGTAAACCCAAGAGTCATCAACGATGTTGGAGTAAACCCTCCCTCCAAGCTCCCTCTTCAAATGCCCCTACAACGGTTCATTTCGATTGAGGGAACTGCATCGTTGGAAGACAACCGTCTGAAAAATTTGAAACATGTCAAAACATTGTCCTCGGGATTCCAGAGCCACGGATCAACCTGGCTGTTGCGTACTGGCGATGCTGAATCATGCCGGAACGCCATTCTTGGGACTCCAACACTGCGAATCAACGTAACTGCTGCACCCGCATAATCCTGAATCCTTCCAAAGCATATTTTTTGCACGTTTATCATGAGCTTCCGTGAAATTCTGGCAAATGTTACGAACGAATGTGCACGGCGCTAAGGCGAGAGCCACATTTTGAAAAGGAACCGCCCTCCATTCGTGAAACTCTTGCACATGTTTAAAACGAATGTGCGCGGCGCTAAAGCGAGAGCCACATTTTGAAAACCGGTTGCCCTCAATTTGCGAAGCTCTTGCCGTATACATATATATATATATATATGTAAATAAATAAATAAACGGTCTCTGTGTATATATATATGTATACATATATATATATATATATATATATATATATATATATATATACATATGTACATATATGTGTCACGCATGTGCGTGGCGTTACGGCGAGAACCACATGTTGAAAACCACCCGCTCTCCATCTGTGAAGCTCTTGCAACTTGTCTAACCGAATGTGCGCGGCGCTGAGGCGAGAGCCACGTTTTGAGAACCACCCGCCCTCCATCTGTGAAATTGTGGCCAATTCTTCAAGCTTCACAATCACAAATGGTGAGGAAGTCTCAGGCGCAACGCCCGGCCCACCCTAAAAACTGGCCTCGGGGTGCGACAGGGAGAAGGTAAGGAAAAGGAATGGAGGAGGAGGAGGAGGAGGAGGAGGAGGAGGAGGAGGAGGAAGAGTGGCCAAGGCACCCAGGCATCCAGGTCGGCGGCCAACCTGGGCACTTCCACGGCGACAGCACTTGGCCACGGAATTGTAAGGTCCATCGGTTGCCAGCGGCGCTCAGGTACGTAGTCTGTCGATGGGGAGTGTTCCCATACCTCCTCGCGCTGCGAAAAAAACACGACGGGAGGTTTTTCATTATTTTGGGCTTCCCGGGCCCCGTATCAGGCCTTGGGACCGTCAAAAATCGATTCGGGATGAGAAACCGGTCCCGGCGAAGGGGTCCAGACCTCTGAGAGTCGAGGTTGTGACAAAAATCACGACGTCGGGGGTCTGGGGATGGGGAGCGCGCGCGTGGGAAAAATCCCCTCCCGACTCGCCCGTTTTTCTCCCTTCCGCTGCCACGCCCCTGCCCGCCACGCCCTCCATGGTGAGGCCGGCTTCGTGGCCCCAGCCTCTTCCACTCGGACGGCGCCATTTGCACACATTCACCGCTCTTGGCCCAACCACGCCAGGTCCATCTTGGGCTTATGATGCTCCAACCTACTTTAGCCTTGCTCACCAGAAAGAATTTCGAGCGCCAGGAAAAGTTCCGAAATTCAAGGGTTTTCACGTGTCGGGCCCTGGGAGACACTGTTTCGACACTCTTTTGACACTTTTCCGGGTGCTCGAAATTATCTCTGGGATGCGGTCCTTAAGTGGGATGGGAACACCGTAATCTTGGGCCCCAAGAGGGCCATGGAGGGAAAGGAGGACCAGGGGGAGCAGGAGAAGGAGCACGACGAGGACGCAGAGAAGCGTGGCCTAATGGAGGATGACGATTAATAAATGACCGGGGGTCGTGTCCACGCGGCGGCGCCCGGGATGACGATTAGAAAAAAACTGGCCGCGGGCTGGAAAACCATTTTTTTATCGTTCTCCTCCAGTCAGAAACTCGTGCAGAAATAGCAGAGAACTATTTGTGTAATCGTTCTCTCCCATTTCTTTTATTAATCGTCATCCCGCATTACCCACGCCATCCACTCCGATCCTGGCCGGGCCCATCCTGGGCCCCCCAGATGGGCGCACGCGGCCTCCTCTGCCCGTGCCGCCTGGCCCCGAGATCCGACGCTGCAACCAAACCCAGAGATCCAACGCATTGAAAAAATCACGACTGAAGGGGCCCCAGGACATAAATAAATACACACAAATTAAAATATTCCATATTTTTTCTAATATTTATGGGCTTTTGTCTTCCCCACCACTTCCCATATTTTCCCATATTTTCTGGAGAGTCGACGATTAATTGTGTCTGTGTGTTTCTTTTCCTCCTGAACGACGGCAGTTTTTCACAAATTTCGGCCCCTAGGGGCCTTCGCCGAGCCTCGGCACCGTCAAAACACGACTCGGGATGAAAAAACGGTCCTGGGGAATGGGTCGAGGCTTCCGGGGACCGCGCATTGAAAAAATCACGGCATCGGATCTCTGGGAATGTCAGCATCGCAAAAAATCACGCCCGGAGCCCTAGACCCCATCTTTCTGCGTCCTCTGTCGAGCCAGATCCATCCGTGAGGGTCCCGGGGCCCGAAGTGGAGCGAAAACGCGCGTGGCGACAAAAATTGCGACGCCAGGATCTCAGGGGGGCGCATACGCCGATCGGTGCTGCTGCATCGCCGCTGGCGCCCTCCTAAGATCCTCCCCCCGCCTCACGGCCAGCCCTCCGCCCCACGCCGCCCCGAGGCGGCAATGGCAGGGACGACCGCCGGCGCGACGACCGCCGCGAGGGCGGGCGGGACCGCGACCAGGACCGCGGAGGGCACGGCGGCGACCGCGACCGCGACCGCGGCCGCGGCCGCGACGAGCACCGCCGCGACGACCGCCGCGACGGCGGGCGGGAGCGCGACCAGGACCGCGGAGGGCACGGCGGCGGCAGAGGCGCGGGGGCGTCTTTTTGCCGCCGGGCTCGGGGATCGGGGAGGGAGCGGGGCTGGCGGTGGCCTCCACCCACGGCCCACATCCCAGACCCTCTCGCGCCATGAAAAGGTCATGGCGGGGAGTTTTCCTGAGTTCTCTGCCTCTGGAGGCTCTTGCCGGCCCTCGGGACCGTCACCAAACGACCCGCATGAACAATTGGTCCAGCGGAGTGGGTCGAGACCTCTGAGGGTCGACGTTCTTGGCGACTTGAAGCCGTCACGCGATGCGAACTTGAGGAGGAGGAGGAGGAGGAGGAGGAGGAGGAGGAGGAGGAGGAGGAGGAAGGTGAGGAAGAGGAGGAGGATCAGGTGGGGGGAGGGGTCTTCGCATCACGCGACGAAATCCTCATGCCCACGGTATTGTTTTCACACTACGTCGGGGGTATGGGATCCCCTCGCTGTTGCTCAACCGCGCGCAGAAGGGGGGGTGGGGGGAGGGGGAGGGCCCCTTGGGAGCACCCCTACTTCTCAGAAGGCGCGGGCCTCATCTGCAGATACAAGGCCGGCGCCTTCTAAGAAGCAGCCTCCTCCTACGAAGCCTTCCCCCCATCCTCCACCCCCGCGCCGACAGGTTGCAAGAATCCCAGCGCCAGGTGTTTGGCAATTTTCGGCCTTTCGGGGGGCCTCGCTGGTCCCCAGGACCGTCCAATAATGATTCACCCCGAGATCCGACGTCGCGATAATTGCAACACTCTAGGAAATCACGCCCAGAGCCCCAGACCCCATCTTTCTGCGTCGTCTTTCGAGCCGGATCGATCTGTGAGGGCCCCGGGGCCCAGGATCTCAAGGCAGGCTGAAAAGCCGGTCCCGGGAAAAAGCAGTCTAGATCTGTGGAGGACGACCACTGGATAGGAAGCATGTTGCCAAATAATCTCCAGGTGTCTAACACATGTCTAGAACCTTCTTCCTACATTCTGAACACATTTTTCATTCAATGATAGGACTGTTGGGGTGTCCATTGTTCAGGAGGGGAAAAACATACAGCGGACATGTGCGTTTTTGCGGGGCGGGGACATGACCACAGCCACTGCTTCTTGTTTGCGCCGCCTTGCAGCCGGCCGAAAAAGAAGCAGAGGTTGTGGTCATTTCCCTGGTGCCTAGCTCAACGAAGATGACCGCAACCACTGCTGTGTTTCTGCGGGCTGGAAGGCGTCAACAAAAAAAAGCAGTGGCTGTGGTCGTTTTCACGCCCCGTAGTGTTGCCTCGGCGACGACCATCGAGGAGGAGGAGGAGGAGGGGGAGGGGGAGGAGGAGGAGGAGGGGGAGGAGGAGGAGCAGGAGGAGGAGGAGGAGGAGGAGGAGGAGCAGGAGCAGCAGGAGGAGGAGGAGAAGGAGGAGGAGCAGGAGGAGGATGAGGAGGAGGAGGAGGAGGACGCGAGCAGGAACTGAGCGCACGAAGCCGACAAACGCGCACGGGGAACGGACGTCCGAGCGAGGGCAGGCGAGGGGTGAAGGGTGCGCCCCGGCCCACGGCTGGAGTGGTCGCGGGCGTGCCGACGTCCCGGGTTCCAGACCCCCGACGTCATGATTGCTTCGTGACGTCGACCCCTCCTCCCTCTCCTCGTCCTCCTCGTCGTCCTCCTCCTCCTCCTCTTCCTCTTCCTCCTCTTCTTCTTCCTCCTCCTCCTCCTCCTCCCTCTCCCCCCCCCTCTCTCCTCCCTCCTTTCCCTCCGACGTCATGATTGTTTCATGACGTCGACCCCCAGAGATCTCGACCCATTCCCCTGGGCCGGTATTTACTTAACAGCGAAGACTGATAGGTTTCATTGTGGGGTCAAAAGAGAGCATCCTGATTCCCCAGGGGGGTCTGGGCAGGATCCGGGGGATGCCGGGGAAGACCGGGGATTCCTTTTTTAGCCAAGAGTAACGCACTTCGTGGTCTTCGAGTTCCCAGAACTCCACTCCTGGGCATGATTTTGACTGCCTGGAGCCAACTGTAGGCCACTTCGTGCTCTTCGAGTTCCCAGAACTCCATTCCTGGGCATGATTTTGACTGCACGGAGCCAAGTGTAGGCCACTTCGTGGTCTTCGAGTTCCCAGAACTTCATTCCTGGGCATGATTTTGAATGCCCGGAGCCAACTGTAGGCCACTTCGTGTTCTTCGAGTCCCCAGAACTCCACTCCTGGGCATGATTTTGACTGCCCGGAGCCAACTGTAGGCCACTTCGTGTTCTTCGAGTTCCCAGAACTCCATTCCCGGGCCACATTTTGAATGCTGAGGCAGGCTGATGTTGAGGCTGAGGCAGGCTGAGGCTGAGGCAGGCTGGCTGAGGCTGAGGCAGGCTGAGGATGAGGCTGAGGCTGAGGCTGAGGCTGAGCTGAGGCTGAGGCAGGCTGAGGCTGAGGCCAAGGCTGAAGGCAGACTGAGGCTGAGGCTGAAGCAGGCTGAGGCTGAGGCTGAGGCTGAGGCAGGCTGAGGCTGAGGCTGAGGCAGGCTGATGCTGAGGCAGGCTGAGGCTGAGGCTGAGGCTGATGCAGGCTGAGGCTGAGGCAGGCTGAGGCTGAGGCCGAGGCTGAAGGCAGACTGAGGCTGAGGCTGAAGCAGGCTGAGGCTGAGGCTGAGGCAGGCTGAGGCTGAGGCTGCTGAGCCAGGCTGAGGCCGAGGCTGAAGGCGCCGCCGCCGCCGCCGCCGCACCCCGCTACCAAACCGCCGCCGCAGCCGCAGCCGCTGCCGCCACCGCCGCCGCCAAGTGTACTCTATATTGTTGTTTGACAGGGATGGTGGGGGGGCCGCATCGGGTTGGCTGCGCATGTTCCGAAATTGGAGGCAGAGTGTGTTTTGTATTGTTTTTTACAAGGGATGGTGGGTGGGGGGTGTTGTCATGGACTCGGATTGGCCCCCAGTCGCCTGGGGGAGGGGGTGTTTATTAATAGGGAACAGTGATAAACCCTTTCCCGAAGGGGGAGAAGGAGGGGTGGAACAGGAAACGCCCTAAACCACCGACGCCCAGAGGGCTGGTGGGATTTCTTGCCGACCGAACCCGCTCGCACAAATCGATCGCCGACAGTTTCATGGCCAAAACAAATCCCTCGGCCAGGGAGGGAGATTGTTTGGGAATCGACATGGAACAAACATTTCTCGTCCTTCCACAGGAAATGGCGGCACATTTCGAGATTGTGTTTCCTTTCAGGCTTTCTGCATTGCATGGGTTGCATTCTCACGAACAGGCTTGCTACGTTTGGACGCGCACGTAAAATATCATTGGTTTCCTTACTGCACAAAGACACCCCGAGGCAAGGTATCTTTCTAGAGTGGAGGATGGTTTGAAAGTTTGGGCAAGAATGTAGCCACAGCGTCGGTTGACTCGACTTGCAAGTTGGAGAACAATTGACATCTGAGAATATGGACACAATCCTGGACCAGGCTCTCATTCGCAAATGTGCAATACCTTGGCAAGGAATGCGGACTGCGCGAAAAGCAAGCCATAAACACAGCAAATGAACAAGGGGGAGGCCGGTGAGACACTGGATTCGGAAACATGTGGCATGAAGTGCGAATCTTTTGACAATAGGTATGCATGCGCGTATCGCCCATAGCAACGAGGAAGAAGATGCTTTGGATTTAAATATGAAGAGTTCAAACGGTGGACATGGTGATAATACAACGTGTCCCGAAGCATGCTGCATGAACTTTTATGCAAATGCGGATCTTTTCCAGGGTCCAAATGCGCATAGTTTTTCTAACGAGCGTGAGCGTGAGGAAGAGAGTGCTGCACATGGTCCGGCGCTAGAAGCTGCAGAGCAAGGAGGTGGCACAAGTGCAACCACGGGACGGGACCAATGCCGCTGTGCACGTCGACGAGGAGGCGGATAAGGAGAAGCATACATCGGCGAATCATACCAGATGAGAAGATTATAACACTACGCAGTTATTGACTATAGGCACGCTGCCAACATGTCGCATGTCGTGGATGCATCAACATACACTTGATTGCGCGCGTGGTTCGTATCATTTGTCGCGGTGTTGCCGAAACAAAGGGCAACATTACGTGGTCGTGCATGTGCAAGTACATGCTGATGCGCAAGGAACATAGAATCGGCGCGCATTTGGCGCGTTGATACAGTTTGCGTGGTCGGGCTGCCCCATCAGGCCTTTTTCTTCTTGGGGGGGGGGCTCGCGAGGACTCGACCTCGCCAGCCTCCCGACGCCGACGCTCCTCTGTCGCAGAATGCGCGTCGCCCTCCGCCACAGGGCCGCCCTGTCGGGCTCGCCTCGGGGGAGAGCGTGCGGGGGCGGGAGGGCGGGGGGGGGGTCTGAGGCCTGGAGCCCACAAGGGTAGTCCTGGCAGGCCGCGGGATTTCGTCTTGCTTGATCCGCGGCCTTGGTTGCAGAACCGCCCGCAGGGAGATCTGATATCCAGGGCCGCCGCCGCTGCTGCCGCGGCTGCTTTGGAACACCTCCCCGAGCGCCTCGTCCCCGTCCCTGTCCTCCTCCTCCTCCTCCTCCTCCTCCTCCTCCTCCTCCTTTTTCTCTTTTTCTCCTCCTCCTTGTCGCTGTCCCCGAAAGGGTCTCGATAGACCCCCAAGAAGACCCCAAGTGGATACCAAGACGACCCAAACATAGATCCCTCGGAGCGGCTGTTCCACTGCATGCTTCTGCTTTTACTTGATCAGTGCAACTCGCCTGGCGATCGCTTCGGGGCGGGCCGGCGCAGACCCCGGAGGCCATTCGTGACTGCCTTGGTCATGCCTGCACCAGTCATCCAATTCTCAGAGCAACTGGCGATCGCAGGATTCTTCGCAACACCTCTGCACGTCTGCGAGCAGCTCCGGCGAGCTGGGGCCAAGACGATTCGGCGAGGAAGGCACGACGTGGCCGCGGCGGCCTCCTCTCGCGCCCGCTCCGTGCGCGCGCCACTCTCTGGAGGTATCTCTTTCTCTGCATCGTTGCCTCGGCCACTGGGCGCGCGCGCCGTCTCCGAGACACTGTCGGGCGTGTGGGAAGAGTCCTCGCGCGCTTGGTGAGGGTCGCGATGCTCTCGCGTCGCAGCGCCCGCCTGCCACGGTCGACAGCGAGGAGCCCCTCTGGCAAGTTCTGCTGCCGCCCCGGACCCTGACCCACGGAGGTCCCCAGAGGCCTTTGGCCTCGTCCCTCGTGGGTCGACGGCAAAACGCCTCCTCCTCCTCCTCCTCCTCCTCCTCCTCCTCCTCCTCCTCCTCCTCCTCCTCCTCCTCCTCTTCCGCCTCCTCCCCTCCTCATCTTCCTACTCCGACTCCTCCTCTTCTTTCTCCTCCTCAGTCATCTTCCTCCTCCTCCTCCTCCTTCCTCCCCTCCTCCTCCTCCTCTCTTCGTCTCCTCCTCTTCTTTCTCCTCATCCTCCTCATCCTCCTCCTCTCCTCTTCCCTCCTCCCCTCCTCCCTCCTCCCCTCCCTCCCCCTCCTCCTCCTCCCTCCTCCTCCTCCCTCCTCCCAGAGGAGGCTGGCCCACTTTGTCCCAGGTCCATCCCCTCCCCTCGCCCCTTTGCGAGGCAGGGGCGACCACCACGATGATCGTGAGCGCGAGCGCGACCGCGGCGGCCACACCGACAGGCAGTCGCGGCCGCGCCCATGGGGGGGAGGCCACCGTGGAGGCGTCAGAGATGCCAGGCGTGACGTGCCTGTGGAGCACGGCGGCTCCTGAGGACCGCTGTTGGCTCTGGAGGAAGAGCTTTCGCTGGTTTGGGGGGGGGGTCTCGCCTCGGGATGCTGTCCATCGAAGAAGAAAAGCTGCACAAACATAAGCTTTCGCTTGGCATCGCTCGGACGTGTGCATGTTTCTCTCGGCGAGGACCCTCGAGGAGCATCCCTGATCATTTGGCAAAAAAACACGCACGAAACCGAAAAAAGAACAGGGAATGGACGTCCGAGCGATGGCCAGTTCGGAGCTCCGCGAGGATCTCTTGAATCTGTGCTCTGTGCTGGAGCCCCTCTGGCGGCGCTTCCAGCGCCGCCCCTAGCGCGCTCCGCGCGCCAATGAGGGGAGCTCGGCGCAGATCCAAGAAAGTCGCCCGGAAATTTGTTGACTTCTGCAGCTGCGTGTTCCTTTCTTCCAGTGGTTGCGTCTCGTCGGGGGCTTTCTTGGGGGGGGGGGCCAGATTCGGACATTGAAGCATATACATTACCAGTGGCGGGCTCTTTGTCAATCCCAGGACTTTTCGAGGGTCGGGGATGGCGTCGGGGTGGTGTGGTGTATATTTGTTTCCCCGTTTTCCCGGGGAAACGACAAAATTTGTATTCACCAGGATCCCGTACACACCAGGGTCCGCTTTCCTGTGCAACTGTCGGTGCAGGGCCGGAAAAGTCGTCGGTGTACAGTCGGGGCCCTGAAGAAGGAACCCTTTTCGTTGGGGAGGGGCTCCGTGTTCCTTAATGGTTTCGCAGCTTGCCTTGGATTTTCCTCCGTTATTCGATACGAAATCGAAGTTCAACTTATGGAAAATCGGGGCCCCGTTCCTTATCTAGGGCTCCTTAGGTCAACGCCTCGACTGTATAGAGTTCGTCCCGTTACGGATCGTCACGAGCGGCCGCCGGCGTGTCCCCCTCACGATGTCCTCCTCCTCCTGCTCCTCCTCCTCCTCCTCCCCCTCCTCCTCCTCCTCCTCCTCCTCCTCCTCCTCCTCCTCCTCCTCCTCCTCCTCCTCGAGGCATCAGATCGAGGTCGGTTCGGGGAGGGCACCCTCATGCTCTTCGTGCTTCTTGGATGTGTATGTGCACCCTGGGGGAGGGCACCCTCGAGGGTTCTTCGGCTTGGCCGGCGGAGGGTCTCGTTGTTCTCGGAGGATGCTCTTCTGTCCTGGGATTATGTCGGGCGTGTCCCCTTACAGGGGGGCTTTCGACGAAAAATACCCCCAAAATACCCCAAAAAGGTCAAACAATATTAAACAAATAGTCCCCATATTATTTTTGGCTTATGGTTGGATTCTGTTTGGGGTATCTGGTATTTTTCGTCGAATATCCCCCTCTAGGGGGACAGGCCCGACTTAATCCTGGGATCGGCTGTGTGGCATCGGGCTGCCAGCACGTGGGGACCGGAAGTGTCTTGTCCCAGGATGGCCCCGGGGACCCGCAGAAGCTCTGGGGAACCGTGGGGCCCTCAAAGATCGACGAAGGATGTGTCCCAGCGATCCTTATATAGGGAAACAAAAAGTGGCATAAACATAACACCTCTGAGGTCCGCGCGGATTTCTCGGATCGGCGCCGGACCCCCTCCCTGGCGCGCGGAGCGCGCCAGGCCAGCGCCGATCCGAGAAATCCGCGCGGACCTCCGAGTTGTTATGTTTATGCCACTTTTTGTTTCCCTATTATAGCAGGATTTCTGATCGTATGCGTCTACTGTGGAGCTGGGGAGATGATGGCGGGATGGGGGACTGGCCATCCTCTTCTGCTCTCTCGTGCGGGAGCCCTCCTGTCCTGGAGCACCTCCAGGGAGCACCCGTGGCCCTAACTCCCTCCGATGTGATGTTCATCAGTCCGCGGCCCCGAGAGGTCCCGGATGAGCTCAGAGGCTTCCTGCTTCGGGCGCTGCGGAATGGGCGGGCGATACACGGGCGGGGGGGGGAAGAGAGGGGCACCTCTCGTGCCCGAGAGGGGCCCCCCAAAGGGGCCCGTGGGGCCCAAGAGAGGGGGGAAGACAGGCGACGAGCTTCAGAGGGGGAGAAACACAACAACACAAAAGCGAAAAACAACAACAAAAACAAAAAAACGCTTCTCCCCTCCCCACCCCTTCCCAGACATCCGATGCCCCGAGCTTCTCAACCTGCGGTGCCCCCAGAGGCCCGGGCCCTCTCCCCCGGGGCCGGCTCGTCCTCCCGAGCTGCGTCTGCCGACGATCCCGGCGGGGCCCGCCGGGGGCCGAGGAAAGCTCAGGAGGGGAAAAAAAAAACACAGAGACAATTCATCGTCGAGCCCCAGGAAAATTTAGGAAAATATGGGAAGTGGGGGGAGACGAAAGCCCAGAAGATGTAGGAAAATGTGGGGCATATGTTGATTTGTGTGTATTTATTTGTGTGTCCCCGGGCCCCTCCAAAAGCTGGAGAAGCGTCCGCCTCGAGTTCCCCGAGGCGCTGGAGGGGCCTGGGACCCTGCCCCGCTTTCGCTTCCAGGCAAAACCAGGTCACACCACGCGCCTCCCCGTCGAGCGGCCTGACCAGTGCGGGCCGCAGTTTGGTGTCGCTGGGTAGCTCTTGGAGGCGAGGGTGGTCAGAAGCGAGGTCGGTTCGTTTGTCCCCTACAAGATGAACGCCGCTCGGCTCGGCCCGGGCCCAGATCCCCGGCGTCGTGATTTTTGTCACGGCGTCGGCCCCCAGAGGTCTGGACCCAGACACGATCGCGTCGTAAAAAAATCCGGGCGGGCGGTTTTTGGCCGTCTTCGGCCTTGGGGGGCCCTTGCCGGGCCTCGGGACCGTCAAACAATTATTCAGGACGAAAAACCGGTCCCGGGGAGAGAGTTGGGACTTCCAGGGATTCCGTATTGAAAAAATCAGGACGTCGCATGTCTGGGGACCCCTACTCTGGGACCGGTTTTTCATCCTGTAGTCGTTTCCTGACGGCCCCGAGGCCCGGTAAGGGCTCCCAGAGGCCGAACATTCCGAAAAACCTCCCGTCGCGATTGTTTCTCAGCGCGAGGGGGTCTGGGAACCAGGGAGGCTCCCCTGGGGGGCCCGCCTGTCTCCTCTGACCAGGCGCGGCGCCCGTTCCGATGCTGCGCGTCCGTGGCACTGGCCTGCACCCTGTTGGAGCGAGACCCTGAGATCCGACGTTGCCACAAACATTGCAACATCGCAAAAAATCACGCCCGGAGTCCTCGACCTCATCTTTCTGCGTCACTTGTCGAGCCGGATCGATCCGTGAGGGTCCCGGGGCCCGAAGTGGAGCGAAAACGCGCGCAGCGAAAACATTGCAACGCGAGGATCTCAGGGGAGGGCTGGTTGGCTCCGTGCAGGCGTGGCGGCGGCCGTTCCCGCCCTCTCCCCCCGCGCGCGCAGGGCCAACGGCCGGGGCCGCAACAACCGCCGCCACGACGACGCTCGTGGCCGGGACGGTCGCGAGCCTCGCGACGAGCGGCGCGAGGAGCGCCGGGGCCGTGACGGCCGCGAGCCTGGGCGAGGCGGGGGAGGCCCTCCGCCGCCGCCGCAGAGCGGGCGAGAGCATTGGGGAGCCAGCAGTGGTGTGCGTGTGTGCGTGTGCGCGTGTGCGCCTGTGCGCGTGTGCGCGTGTGTGCGTGTGTGCGTGTGCGCATGTGTGTGTGTGTGCGCGTGTGTGCGCGTGTGTGTGTATGTGTGTGTGTTAGTGTGTGTGCGTGTGTGTGTGTGCGTGCGTGCGTGCGTGTGTGTGTGTAAATGTGTGGGTGTGGGTTTGTGTGTATGTGTGTGTACGTGTGTGTGTGTGGATGTGTGTGTGTGTGTGTGGGTGCGCGCGTGCTCGTGTGCGTCTGTGCGTGTGCGTGTGCGCGTGTGCGCGTGTGCGCGTGTGCGCGTGTGCGCGTGTGCGCGTGTGCGCGTGTGCGCGTGTGCTCGTGTGCGCGTGTGCTCGTGTGCGCGTGTGCTCGTGTGCGCGTGTGTGCGTGTGTGCGTGCGTGTGTGCGTGTGTGCGTGTGTGCATGTGCTTGTGCGTGTGAAAGTTTGCGTAATTATGTGCGTGTGTGCGTGTGTGCGTGTGTGCGTGCGTCTGTGCGTGCGTGTGTGCGTGTGTGTGTGTGTGTGTGTGAGTGTGTGTGTGTGTGTGTGCGTGTGCGTGTGCGTGTGTGCGCGTGTGTGTGTATGTGCGTGTCTGTGTGTGCGGGTCGCGTGTGAGTGAGTGTGTGTGTATGGGTGCGTGTGCGTGTGCGGGTCGGGTGCGTGTGCGTGTGCGTGTGCGTGTGCGTGTGCGTGTGCGTGTGCGCGTGCGTATGCGTGTGCGTGTGCATGTGTGTGTGTGTGCGTGCGTGTGTGTGTTTACGCCCTGTACGTCCTTCTCCTTCCCACAACCATCGCCATCTTGGCTCAGGCCTTGACGCGCTGGAGTGAAGACTCTGCCGTTTGGGTAACAGGCGTGCCCCTCATCATCACCATCCTACGGAACCCAGGGCGGGATCGGCTCTCTGACCAATGCCCCAAGCCTGGGCCCGAGTCCTCGAGGGCAGAGCGCGACCACCGGTGCAGACCCCCCAGCGGCCGTTCCAAATCCGCAAAATTTGCATGGGCAGGATACGCCCCATCCCAGGGCGTCACTTATCTGCACCACCACCCCTCCATAGCGTGCTGCCGTGTCCTGCGCCGTCGCCCCGGCTGCGTTCCGAGCGGCGACCACCGCGTGGCTTGCTATGCCAGCGACCCGACGTGCCCGATTCCGGCGGGCGGCAGCTTCCTCGTGCCGTGTTCCGTGCCCCTTGCATCGGCTGCCACGTCCTGCGTTGCGTTTCCACTGTTCAACTAGTCACGGGAACTATGTTCTTCGAGTTCGCGCTCTCGACGGCTAGACTCTTGTTGATCCACCTGCGCACGATCCTTCCGATCATCCGGCTGATCTACGCGAAGACCTTCCGGCGCATGAGTGTCAGGCATACCGTGCCGATCTTCCCGATGTCTGCGGTGATTTAGTGCTCTTGGAGCAGAACTCTTCCGCCCCCCCCCGCCACCCAGGGTGACCTGCATCCTCTTCGCGGCGTTCTATATGGAGACTGTCAGGATCACCGTGGTCAGCTACCTGGAGCCTTACGTGGCCCCATGCCCATGCCGTCTTCCATGCCGAAACCCCACCACCGGCCGAGCAGGGAGGCCACCAGGCTGTAACTGCAGCCAGCCTCCATGCATCAGAGCATTACGGCCCTGCCGACGGGCCTCCGCCGACCGCCACTGGAATTGACCATAGTCACGAGCTCGTGGTGGCCCTCACCCTCAGCGTCCGCCGACTGCCACTGGCGCCAGGCAAGGGGGCCACAAGGCACACGCTGCAGCCAGACCACCTGCCGCGGTCCTCTACGAATCGCCACCCGGTGTTCGACGACCGCCAATGGAGACGTTCAGTGTTGCCACCAGGCCAACACTACAGCCAGTCTCCGTGATGTCGCCCATGGCGCAGTCCATAGCGACCCCCCGCGTGAGCGCCCGCTGGCTTTCAGGGACACCAGCCACGTGGGCCACCAGGCCTGCGCCGCAGCCAGTCCATCCGCCGCGGTTTGTTGTGAGCTTCCCGCCGAGTGTGCGACGACGCCAGTCTCTGTGATGTCGCCTATGACCGTCCGATGACCGACTGTCAACCGACCGACCCCTGACGATCGACGACCGTCGCTCCGACCGTCCGCAAACTACTATCAGGGGAAGCAGCCACGCGGGCCACCAGGCCCACAGTGCAGCCAGCCCGTCCGCCGTGGTTCATTCTGACCCTCCCGCCGGGTGTCCGAAGATCCCGACTGGAACCGCTCAGTGTCTCCGTGATGTTGCCCATGACGTAGTCCGTGGTGACCTTCCTGAGCGTCCGCCGACTCAGGAGCACCAGCCATGGAGGCCACCAGGCCCACGTTGCAGCACCAGCCACGGGGGCCACCAAGCCCGCGGTGCCGAAGCCATAGCCTTCGACGAAGCTTCGAGGGAAGTGGCCAGCTTCCTCTCTGAGCCCTAAAGCACCAACGGACGCTCGGGCTGCTTGCGCCGCGCTGGAGAGTGCGGAGCCGACGACGACGATGACGACGACGACGACGACGACGACCACAACGACGACGACGACGACGACGACGACGACGACGACGACGACGACGACTTCGACCACCACAACGACCACAACGACCACAACGACCACAACGACCACGACGACGACGACGACCACAACCACAACCACCACCACAACCACGACCAAGACCACAACCACGACCACGACCACGACCACGACGACGACGACGACGACGACGACGACGACGACGACGACGACGACGACGACGACGACGACGACGACGACGACGACGACGACGAACGACGACGACGACGACGACGACGACGACGACGACGACGACGACGACGACGACGAGAACGAGAACGAGAACGACGACGACGACGACGACGACGACCACGACGAAAAGACGACGACGACGACGACGACGGCGACGACGCGGCGCCGGCCGGCGCCGCGCGCCCTCGGCCGCACCCACCGCCGAGGCCGCGAGGACAGGCGCGACGACCGCCGCGGGCGCGGCGGCGGCGGCCGCCGCCACGCCGCCCGGGGCGACTCGCGGGATGACTCGCCGCCGGGCGCGCGGGAGAACGGCCACAAGCGGAGGCGTCGCCCCCTCCCCAATTGCGTCCTCCTTCATCTCCTCCCCTCCTGCTCCTCCGCTCCTCCTCCTCCTCCTCCTCCTCCTCCTCCTCCTCCACCTCTACCTCGTCCTGTTCTTCCTCCTCCTCCTCCACCTCCTCCTCCTTCTGCTCCTCCTCCTCCTCGGTCCATCCCCTTCTGCTGCTCCTCCTCCTCCTCCTCCTTCTTCTCCTCCCCCTTTTTTCTCATCCTCATCCTCATCCTCCTCCTCCTCCTCCTGCTCCTCCTCCTCCTCCGTCCATGGCCCCTCGGCTTCCCTCTCCACCTCCCCTCCTGTTTCCTTCTCCTCTCCCATCCCATCTTCCTCCTCCTCCTCCTCCGCCTCTGCCTCCTGCTCCTTCTCCTCCTCTTTCCTCCTCCTCCTCCACCCCTCCTCCTCCTCTTCTTATTATTCTTCTCCCACCTCCTACTTCCTACTCCTTCTCCTCCTCCTCCTCCCTCCTCCTCTCCTCCTCTTCCTCCGCCTCTTTCGCTCCTCCTCCTCCACCTCCACCTCCTCCACTCCTCCTTCCTCCTCCCTCTCCTCCTCCTCCTCCTCCTCCCTCCCCCTCCTCCTCCTCCTCCTCCTCCTCCTCCTCCTCCCTCCCCTCGTCTCCTCCTCCTCCCTCCTCTCCCTCTCCTCCTCCTTCCTCCTCTCTTCCTCCTCCTACCCCTCCACACTCCTCCACCTCCTCACCTCCTCCTCCTCCTCCTCTCCTCCTGCCGCCTCTTCCTCCTCCTGCCACCTCCTCCTCCTCCTCCTCCTTCTCCTCCTCCTCCTCCCTCCTCTGCCCTCTACCTGTACCTCGTCCTGTTTTTCCTCCTCCTCCCTTCTCCTCCACTCCTCTCTCCTCCTCTGCTCTCTCCTCCTTTTCCTTCCTCCTTCTTCTTCTCCTCCTCCTTTTCCTCCTTCCTCCTCCTCCTCCTGCTCCTCCTCCTCCTCGCTCCATCCCCTTCTGCTCCTCCTTATCCTCCTCTCCTCCACCTCCTTTTCCTTCTCCTCCTCCTCATCCTCCTCTTGCCTCCTCCGACTCTGGCTCCTGCCCTTTCTCCTCCTCTTCCTCCTCCTCCGCCACCTCCTCCTCCTCTTACTCTTCTTCTTCTTACTCCTCCTCCTCCTTCTCCTCCTCCTCCTCCCTCTCCTCCTCTTCCTCCTCCTCCTCCCAATCCTCAATCCTCCTCCTCCTCCTCCTCGCCTTCCTCCCCTCCTCCTCCTCCTCCTCCTCCTCCTCCTCCTCCTCCTCCTCCTCCTCCTCAAGCAGTACCAGCAGCAGGAGATGCGCAAATGTTCTTCTTTCTGGGGATATACAGAGGGATGGAGAGCTGGAGCACTAACGAACAAGTCTTGTGGTATCAGTATATGGTTCAACAGTCGATTTTTCCGCCCCTCTCATCTTCGTGGGGTAATGACGAGCCCCAAGGGGTTACAAGGCAGAGTTCTGTGCTGCAAGATGGAACGCCAAACAGTTCGAATGGCTTTCATCTCGCTCTACTTTCCGCCCAGCACGAGAGAGAAGTCACAGCAGCTGAAGTACACGAATTGTTGCGAGGCGATCACCAGGTGGCTTTCTAAAGTTTTAGGATCTTTGGCAGGCAGATGGACACCAGTTATCACAATGGACCTCAACCCAGCTTTCACCGAGGAGGTTAGCGACATGATTGGACCCTACGGCCATGGCGACGAGGAGCGCAAATCGGCGGCTCTTCTCAAGCCAATTCTAGCGGCTCATGAGTTGTGCATGGTCAACACGATGAAGGACGCAGTTTACACTTTTGTGGCTTCGAATGGTACGACGCGAACACTGGACTACATTGCAATTCCCAGTGCGCTGCTACCCTCAGTAAGGTGGTGCACAACATTCAGACGGAGCATGCGACGACTACAACCACATAGGCGGGGACGTGAATGGGATCACTTACCATTGGGAGCGAGTTTTTGCTGGAGTGAGAATATGGTACCAGAACCAAAGCGCACACTCATGCAGAGAATTGAACCATCGGCGGCTAGTGCACTTTCACAACGAGGTTACAAACGGAAGGAGTTCACGGAGGCAGTGCACGACACGATCTCAGCGAAGGCGGCTTGGGTCAGAAGCAGATCAGGATACGAGATGACAGTAGAGGCGAATCAACTCCTGGTGGAGGCTTTGGTTGCAGGAGCAGAAGCCACATGTATGCAGAAGGAATGTTACACAGAGAGTCACGCACTTTACGCTGCTGGACTAAAAAGCTACTTGGGCAACGACGCCAGCTGCGAGACAGACTTGCTTGGGCATACTCTGAGCAAGACGAGCAGCAGCAGTTGGAGCGTACAGTAAGGATCACGACGTTGAGCAGATGGTTGCGACAACATAAACGACGGCACTGGCAGCAAGTACAAGAGGATCGAGTCTGTGCTGTTGAGGAGGCTCGAAAAAACAAGGACTACCACGAGGTGCATCGCATTGCCAGGCTGCTCGCGTGCAAAGGACGAGGACCACGACGACGATCTTATAGGCAGCTCACCACGAGTGGAACTACGTCGGAGTGGAAAGAGAGATAAGGCTGACGGGCGAACAGGGTGGAGCTTCAGCGCAGATCGTACAGTATGACGCTATGGCTCAGATGGTGCACGACCTTCCCGAGCAGCACAACACCGTGACCGCAGAAGAGACGGAAGAGGATATCACAGCATTCAAAAATGAGATCTGGAAGCTACGTTGATGGAGAGTGGCGCCACGCGACAGCATCGGCGCCGAGTTCTTGAGAGCGGCCTTTTGTCCAAATTGGGTCAACAAGAGACGATTGCAACACAGGCATGGGCTGGGCTCCGAGCAAGAGCAAGAGAAGATATCGGCCACACCAGCGTATTTCATCTTGTGGTGCCTTCTCCGTGGAATTCGAGAAAGTGGAAAGTTGCCGCTCTCATGGATATGTTCAGACGCTTGCAAGACCGGCAAAGGCAATCATAAGGAAGGACTTGACAGCGAGAGGCTCATCATGCTGGCGCGCGCGATTGCGAAGGCGTGTTTCAGAAGCTTACTTGCACGAGGAGCCCCGCCTGAGGTTGAATCGTGGGTTTATGGATGTCTTCCTGGACGGCGACGGGAGGCAGCAGTTATCGCTCAGCAGGCTTATTCGTGGCGCAAGCGCTTTCAGGCTGGGCAGTCTCACTTCAAACGCCTCCACGACGCGACCAATGCCTTCTACTGTATGGATCACGACACATTGTGCGAGGAGATCGAGCATGTTTTTCGAGAGGAAGATTGGCAAGTAATGAAGTTCAGAGTCACTCTAGCTTGTTTCATGTTGCCGGGAGACGAGTCCAACGAGGTACTCCTGCTTCAGCAAGGGCGTGTACCAGGCGACCCAGCAATGGTTAGACTTTGCGTGGGGGCTTATGCCAGACAGATGGGAAAGGGATCAATCAACATCAATAACTGTAGGCAGAGCAGTTTCTTTTGTCCTTGGGCCAGAAAGTGGATGCAGGCAGCTTTTACTCTTTATGTGGACGATGCAGCAGACAACGCCGACGTGGGCAACAGCGCCGAGCGCATCGCGGCAACAGGCGCTCATCATAATCAAATCATAACGGGCAGAATGACGGAGGTGAAGACGGCGCAGAACGTCAGCAAGCAAGAGAATCTATTGTACTTGGCAGGTCAGAACTGAATATATCTCGAAGCAAAGTTGCTCCGTGAACAGCTATTGGAAGGGAAGACAGCAGTTTATGCGCGATGCCTGGGGCCACGCATTCATGCCAGATTCGCACTTTGTGAACTGGAGGATCGGTTCACAGCAGGACGAGCGGCGTGGTACAATCTCAGTAAGTTCTGGAGCAGCAATGTCTCATTTGCAGGGAAAATCAATCTACTCAAAGGCTACGTGGCCAACGCATGCTACAGCGGAGCCGAAGTTTTGTGTCCAAAGAATGGGCCGATGCGAGCACAGGACTGGCAGCCCATCCTCAGCTGCCTCGCCATGCGTGCAAAGATACTCATGAGGGGTGTGGTCGAGCAAAAAGAAGATGGCACCATTCGTACCCTCTCCAACCTCCAGGTCCCAAGTAAAGTGCGTCTGGCAGCCCCGCGCGTTGAGACGAGGGTCCGAAGGCTCAAATGGCTTCAGCAATGCTTAAAGCATCAAACAAGGTTTTCTCAGTTTCTCGCGGTGGTTTTCGGGCGCTCCTGGGACGACGAAACAGCCGAGACCGAGAGATACGCGAGCGACGACAACAGAGCGAACCCTTGGCGCGAGCAGCTACTAGACGACATCAAGGCAATTGAGCTATTCGACGACGGTGCTAGGCTACTAGAAATATATGGAGTGGAGGAGCTACTATTCGAGTGGAGGGAGGACTTCGTCTCTTTAGATATGGGGGCTATTCGGTCACACTACTTTCTGAACATCAAACAGCACGAGCACAAACAGGAGGAGATAGAAAAGGGTGGGCCTCATCGCTGCACGGCACTCAAGGGCGACGGGGAGATTTGCAATGAAAGGTTCCAAACAAAAAAGCAGTTGGCGGCACGCTATGTGATGACCAAGGGGGGCACGCACGGAAAGCAGCTACTGGGGCGGATGCGTTGTGTATCGAGTCAGTGTGTGATATGCGGCTCCAACTTCTCGTCCACCGATTACGCCGAGAGGCGCATGAATCGAAGCATGATTCGAGGTATATGTCACGTAGATAGAGGACGCGCTGACGGGAACATCATTCAGCCAAAATCGTACGAATGCCCGGCCTGTGACGACGTTGCTCTTGATAATGAAAATCTCCGTAGACACGTACTTGTCGAGCATCTTCAGCCACACTTGTCTTCTCACGTACTTGAGTTTGAGCTTCCTGGCCTGTCTGAGGCCCTCCATTTTTATGGATTGGTTGATGCCGTCGGCTCTCAAGAGGGGCCCAGAGGCAGGGGGGGGCGACCAGAGGGGCAACAAAGATCGGCGCGTGGACAAGCCAGAGGACGGACACGTGAACAACAAGCTTCTTCGGCAGCTCG